CATAATTAGGATGTGATGAAGTGCCATTTCAGAACTCGCCACTCAGCTCCTCAAAATCTATGGTTATCGTGATGCATCAGTTTCTAAAACAATGTTTAACACAAATATATGGACTGCAGTAGTGATTTGATTGTTTCATCTTAGTGCTTTCAGGTTTATTTTGCACCAACTATAAGAGAAAGGTACTCGCCAACAGCATGGAACAGAAGCAAGTTTGGATCTAAATAGTAATAGTTTAGCCTTTAATTTAACAAGCATGCTGAAACATAATTGTTTATAGTACTTCAGAGTAAATTTGATAACAGATTCAAGGTTTGATTAGCCATTATACAGAGTGTCTTCATTTAAAGAAAATGAATAATTTGGTATTTGTATTTTTAACACATTATATATATATATAAAATTTGCTTTCTTAAATCTTGATTTTTATCATGTTTGTAGGATGTGTATAAAGTGATAGTAAATTATTTTTAGAATCAGAGGGGGGAACTAGTACATATTCATTTTAAATAATTTGCAAGTTTTAGATGTTTATTAAAAATATATATATATACTAACAAACAGATGCCATCAAGACTCGTGTGTAGATCAGTTTGAACTGTAAATTGAAACAGCACTTGTCTGGGTTATTTACCTTATGCAGCAGAATACTAACTATTACACATATTTCTACCACATCAACAAATTCTTTCTTATTTTGAGATGTGTTTGCCTTCCGATTTTCTGCAGGACTATGCCACAGGACAATATCTAATGTTATTTATATTTTAAAATTGATAGCAAAGACACTAGATTATGGAAAACAAAAAGAAAATTTAAATGTCTATAGACAGTTTTAAAATGTTTTTGATCCAACTTAGCAATTATCAATAAATAAAGTAATAGCAAAACTTAAAGGACAATATGTTCCTAAAAAAATACAAGCAGTGTGGAATTGCACACAATTAAGTACATTAGGTGCTGCTTAATATAACCAAATTTGTCCATGGCTATTTTGATGAGAAAAAGTATCCTTTAAAATAGCAGTTGGAATTTAATATAAAAATATCAAGAAACATACAAATACATATTTTCACAGCAGCATTTTAATTAGAAAATGCAAAAGTTTGTATACAAACTATCCACAATGTCTTTAATGCAAAAGCTATTTATAAACTATTCATCTGTAGAAATTATTTGACCAATATTGTACCTTACAAATTTTATAATCTATTTTGACCTTGTTTGGTGACTACTTCATAATAATTTGATTATAATAAGCCATTTCCTATTTACATAGACAGGACTTCGACAAATTCCTAACAATATCTGTACAATAACGTTAATCGGCATCTACTATATACAAAATTAAATCAAAATTCATATATCATATGCAAGTTTATTTAGGAAAAGACAAATAAAAAAGTGGAAATTTTTCTACTCCATGCAATCTTGTAAATTTACTGGTTATTGTCTATTATAAACTCTATTTGGATAATTTATTTTCTTTAATCATTTGAATGATAAGATTAATTAACATGAAATTATATATTTAAACAGAAAACATTTTCTAAAGACATTGTTGATAAGAAAATACACTGAGATACAGCCATAAGCTTTCGAAATGGAATGACAGCTTTGTGCTGAAAGATAAACATGATCTATATGAAATACAAGGGCAATATGGAACGAATAATGCAATTTCACACTTTGGACAAACTGTCAGTGGCAGACATTCATTGAGAATTGTTTGTCCTATAGGGCTCAAACATTAAGGTGTAAAGCATCAGTTGGTGAGATTTTCAAAGGAAGGAAGGACAAACATTCATGATGAATTAGGAGTGGGAGGCCATCTGTAGTGAGTGATGATCTTGTAAAAAAAAGTTGCCTACACAATCCATCAGAATCATCGATTGACAATCTAGAAACTTTCATAGCAATTTCCGAACATTTTTCAAACTGTTGTACGATGCAGTCACTAAAAAATTTCACTGCTGTAAATTGTCACAGAGATCCGCGAAACCAATCGAATAGCAGCTGCCTTTTCCCCCGGTATCATACAGAAAGGGAAGAGGACACATGAAAGGGACATTGACTTCTTTTGAATATCATCTGTTCCCTACATTGAAGAAATTACTTGGGACACAGTACCTCACTGATGTTGAGGAACAAACTGCTATGACAAGTTGGTTGAAGTTGCAGGCAGCTGAGTTTTTTGCAGAAGGAATTGGTAAAAATCTATGACAAGTGCTTGAATGTACAATGACAAACAATGTTTTGAAAAACAGACCTCTAAACTAACCTCTGTTTCACTGGAAATAAAACTGCAGCAAAACAGAGATTAGTTTCTGAATTGCCCTCGTAATAATTCTCAGTGAGATCTAGGCAGCAGAATAGCCAATAGTTATTTCTTCAGAAAGTGTACTTGAAAATGGGCTCAAGAAATTCTTTTTTTCTCCATCTTTGATCTTTCAGGATTAAGTGTATATCTTCTGTCAAGAAATCAAATAAACCACAGAGAGCTTAGTATGAATTTTGATTCAAACAACTGACGCTGAAAATTTTTAGTCTAGTATCATCAGCAAAGATTTAAAAAAAAAAAAAGTCTGTAGCCACTTAATGGAAAGAAAAGGCAGCAGTATGTAATTTATGTACATAAAGATTTGCAGAAGCAATTAACTGCCATATACATATTTATAAATTATGTAAAAATTCTGTTTTTAAATGTAACCCAATCTACCTAGCAGGTCAAAATTATAAAACTTAATTAGACACACATTTTGTTTTAATAAAAAGGCCAAAATATAAAAAAGAAAGAGTATACTCATGCAACAACAACAACCAAAAAAAAATTACATGTTACAACATTACATTAAACTTGCATGTTACATTAAGTTGCATAAAAGCTGATATGGTAAGAATTTTTAATGCCCACATATATTTACATATACAAATATCCTCCAAACCTGAGACTGATTACTGAATATATGAATAAGACTACTTAATAGGTAGTTCATCTTTTGTTCTGCTCACTGCTAACAAATAGGCCCTATGTTACTATTTAGTTTCCTTCAGAAAGTTCTCCATGAAGATCTTTCTTTTATACTGATAGATCTTGTAATAAATAAAATAATTAGTCAATCTAAAATGATTTAAGATGAAAACTAGTGAACACTTGTTTCCCAGTGATAAAGATTGGCTGGATGGCAGTTTTCATGGTTTGCTTCAGGTAAAACATATACTCAGAGTAATGCTGCCTAAAAGATTCCTGCAAAAGCAACTCTACTGAAAGAATCTCTAAATGCTTTGTGAGTAATAAGTAACTAAAGTAATCCCCAAAATAACTATTATATTCTGTAATAATCTGTTAACTAACTATATACATTTATTTATTAGGATGTGTTTCAAGGTGTTCATGAAAACTATTCTTTCATATAAATCTTAACATTAGTGGAAATATGTGCAAGAATATATTTTTTTAATCCTAGAAAACAGGACAATTTACAGATAGTTTCAGGAAATTTAAATTCATAACACTACATTGTCTCCTTTTATCATGTCAACTAAGTAATATTCTGAAAAAATTAAGATATACTGAAACATTTTATGAAAGGTAGACAACTACTCCTAAAACTCACTGACACTTGTTTCCGTCATCCATGTAATATAACATTTAAGTATTAAAAATTTATTACTACTTTAAAAGTGTGTAATAAACAAATACTTTAAAAATAAAAAAAAGTTTGTTTTATTGAACATAATACACATTAAAAGTAAGATGCAAAATAAATTATAAAATTCATTTGTATCTTACTCTGTTGTATTTCTTATCCAAAAATTTTATGAATGTGTAATATAAATTTTGTTCAGAAAATAGCAAAAAAATTCAACTGTATATAAATAATTAATATATTTTCTAATTTTAATAGAATTGCAAAATCTCATGTAATAAAAGTGTGAAAGTTTAAATAGATCAATTAATGAAGAAAAATCTCAATACTTACAAATTTTAGGCCAATCGAAAACCGCGCATCCAAATTTCCGAGGTGGGGTGAGAAGGTGGGAACCCTTGCTTCCGCAATTGCTGTGAGGTGTGGTGTATTTAAAGCAAAGCCACTAGGGCTATCTGCTAGGAGGGATGCTTCGTGGAGGACTTTCTAAGGGAAACTGGCTCGTATGCACGTTACACATGGGGAAAACCACGAAAAACCCATGCAGCCAGCAAAGGATTCGAACCTCGACCGAACTACCAGTGTTCACCTTTACCGCTCGCTGCGGTGGCCAATTGCGGTGGAACTGACAAATCGCATAACTGCTGGTGCTCCGGTCTCCTCCGTATGAAACAATTGAATTGCCATGCATCCCCAATTACTTTATGCTGGATTGGAAATATTTTCTGACAGTATTAGCACAAAAAAGGATGATAATTAAATTTTAAAAATTACCCTTTTTGAAATTTTTGTGTCACATCATTTGTTGTACTTTTGCATAAAATAAAATCACAGCATATAGTCTGTTTTAGATCTTACCCAGTATGCTTCAGTCCTATCAGCAAATCCAAGGTTTTGAGTCTCCTCTTGTTAGATAAATCTGACCAGTCATAAAAATAATCTATATAGAAATTCTAGTTTATCACAAATTTCATTAATGCTCTTTTCCGAAGTTTATTCTTATCCACAAAATTCACTTTACATCATGAGATTTGATATAATTACACTGCAAAAATTAGTTATAATATGATTTATCATATACAAAGGATTTAAGTTATACAAATGAAGATTACTCTTAAAAGAAAGATGAAAAGAAATGAAATAAAAATTACCAGCATTATATCTTAATTTATGGAATCTTAGAATTTGTGTTTCTGAGCTTCACAAAATTTTTTACTCATATATATATTTTTGTATCACTAATGAAACAATTTTATTTAAAACCAACCAACCAAGATGTAAGTATAATTTGTATTTTTCAAAAGGACTGATTAAAATTTTAATTTTAAATAAATAAAAAAAATGTGAAAATACATAATAAATAAACTTTAATTTCCATATTACAAGTATGTACATTATTTATACACACAAAAAAGAAAAATGTATACAGAGAATTTTTTTTTAAATTTACATAACACGTGAACTGAAGACGGCTGAGTTTCTGACAAGTTTATCCAGTTGTGATTGGAAAACTTCACTAATTATTTCTTTTCCAGGTTTACATTCAGGATTTTTTACTACATATTCAACATATATCTGAAAGATAGATAAAATAATTGAATATCTTTATTTAAATGTGAAACAAATTTATGATTACATACTTACATTAGCAACAATAGTTCCAACAGAATTAAAATTTTTTGTAAATAAAAAATAACACAGATAATAAGTAAACTGATTGCATGAAAGTCTACTAAAACAATGCTAGTCCTTAGTTTAATTATATCCATTTTTACTTTTGTGTTCAACATTTAAATCTGTTAATTACAAAAATATCACGAATATAGTTCTGTAATAAAATAAGCACAATCACTAATGCAATAATTTAGACCCCCCAGAAAATATTACACAAATTACATTTTAATTAGTAATTTCAGCTCTTACTTTCGTATTCAATTTTATTTCAAGTAATAGTTTTTGTATTCAATTTTATTTCAAGTAATAGTTTGTCACAATAGATACTAATTCGTAATAGCAACCAAATCATTTTCTTTATTATAAGCCTTTTATTTAGCACACTCATGGAGTTCTACTGCGAGTGGAATTTTGTTACTGTTGTCTTACCTTTTTAACCAACTTTCCGCTAAACTATTGAGTTCAAATTTTGTACACACTTGTTTGCCAACGACAATGCTATGTTGCAAAGCAATTTTTCAAAATTCAATTAATATTTTTTAATGTAAATTTTAAATGACTTTTTGCACATATCTTCATTTAATGACATACGATGCATATTAGAACTTTACTGTTTATAGAAGAGAAAAAGTATCCTTTCAATCAAATTTGTAATTTGATTTCTGAATTTTGGAGGGGATTAAATGCTTTATTTTTTTAATAATTTTTAATGTTTTATGGTATGAAAATTTCAACACATAAAAATGTATCAGATATAAAGTTTTGAAATTTTTAGATTATAATAATATTATTTACTTTACCCTCTTTCAATACAAGAATGATAAAGTATTAACTGAGCAATTTTTACATTTTCTTGGAATAACTACATTTTCATAACAGTAACATTTATATTTCTAAACTTCACGGAATCTCCATATCCACTGCTAATGTAACTGTCAACTTATTATTTTTTTTAATTCCTCCCCCCCTTTTTTTTTTTTTTTTTTTTTTTTTTTTTTTTTTTTTTTTGAAAGAACGATTTTATAGCAAAAAATGATAAAAACAGACCATTTTATCAGTGCTGAATATGGCATACAGAATGAATAACTCATGCATATTTCTTAAAACAGGCTCTTTCCACCAATGCAATGCAATGCAAATATATCAATACTAGCAGCTACTCCCCACATATTTTTAAATGATAAGGTAAGCCTCAACTGAAATCTTCAAATTGAGCTAATTCTAGAGTAGATTCTCTTCACATGATTATTAAGCACTTTGTACTGCCTTTTTCTTGTACAACATATTTGATGTTACAGTATTTGAGTATTTAGTGCATTTTATCCATATCAAAAGTGCACCTCATAGATTCACAAATGATAAAGTTTTTTTTTTTTTTTGTTTCTTTCTTTCTTTAGGCTAGAATCATTAATCAAGATCTTTTTCACTGAAATATTGAAGTTCTTTCTTGCCAATAAAACCATCTAAATAAAACAAAGTATAGACGCTAAATTATATAATTATAAATATAATTATATAATATATACAGTACAAAGTGTACATGTACAGTACAAAGTCCAAGAACTGGACATGCAATATCTGGAATGATCTAAAATCCGGACCATAAAGCCACCAAATTTTTATGCTTTAGGCATGCACATTTGATTTTTCCCCCGTAAGGAAACATATGGAGAATCTCGATTCTTAATTTCAATTCGACACTAAATAAAATACCTCATTATTGAGGAAACAATCATTTTAGCAGACATTTGTGTGATCAATAATTTGGCTCCTTAGCTGCACATATCTGCTTGGCATACATCTCAAACCGAAACATCCCACATAGAAACCTTGTTGATTTTACAACTACTAATATTTTATATCCCTGATGAAAACCTGGCGAATCATTATTTATTATAAGTTAAATGCACTATATATTTAAGTTAAATGCACTATATATTGACAAGGAAAAATTTAACAAAAATTTCTTTCCACATGCTAACAATAGATTTTGTCAATGATATCCATAAGGCTAAAAGATTACATTTAGGGCTATTTGAATTAGGAATGACTGATTTTTTATTCACATAAACCCAGAACCAGCACCAGAGCTCATATGGCCGCAACGGGCAGCAGAATTTACAGAAGACAAAATTTTTGGAATTTAGAGAAGCACCGAATAACAAAATTAAGGGTTGATAAAATTTTTAGAATTTAGGGAAAGCACTGGAACCCAAAATTAAGGGACAGCAAAAATTTAGAACTTAAAGAAACGCTTGCTAGCAGAATTTAGGACACGCAGAGACTGCATCAGGCAACAAAATATCTAGCGCCGGCTCTCAGTAAGCATAAATATATGTGAAAATTTATTTATTCAGGACTCAGATAAGCATGTGCAAGAATTAGACGTAATAAAATTAATTAATACAATTCAGGCTTAATTGTCTCAGTGCGCAATAGAAGCAAGGCAAAATTTAACGGAATATTTCGTTGCCATGCTACATAGTCAATCACGTACGGCGAACGCTGTTAAGCTAAGTTAAAATTATAATTTATGGATTCCAAAAAAATTCAGTTAATATAGCAGATGTGCTGTTCCTTAACTTTCTGATTTGATCCAGCTTATTCTTTTTTTCCAGGCTGTTATAATTATAGCAATTTTATGAAAACGAAAATTTGAACTTTCGATTATGTCAAAAAGGGTTTCTAATTCTCAGCTGCAACAGGATCTACAAAGTGAAAGCATGTTTCGATGTCCATTAAACAAAAAGTGGAACTGCTGCAAAAAACTACAGATATATTTGTCTCAAAATTATGTGAGGAATATGGCGTATGGAAAGTACATGACATAACAGAAAAAGAAACTTTATGAAGTTTTTTAGATTCTGACACCCCACCCACAATAAATAACAGAAAAATTATTCGCTATGTTAAAAGTGATGATCATGACAAAGAGATGATTGAATGGTCAGACAGAGACAAAGGAGTGCCATTGACGGGTACAATGCTAATGGCTCAAGCCGAAATATTTCATGAAGAAACGAACTTAAAAACTGAATGCACATATTCGATAGAATGGTTAACCAAATTTTAAAATTGCAGTGGTATAATGCATTTAAAAATTTCAGTTGAAATAGCTTCAGCTGATACCGAAATTTTAAAAATACTATTTGCAGATGAATTCTTGAACTCATTAATTGTGAAACATTACCTTCAGGACAAATTCACAATGCCGATGAAACTGGTCTTTTCTGGCAATAGGTATCGCAAAATACCTTGGCAACTTGTATAGAAAAGGCTTCAACTGGTGTCAAAGGTTCCAAAGCTACACTAACAATTTCAACATGTGCAAATGCTGCAGAAACGCACTAGTGCAAACTTTTTGTAATTGGAAAATGTACATGATCTTGAGCATTTAAAGGAGTAACAATATCCCCTGTTATATATATTGTGCAAATAAAACAGCATGGATGACACAAGCATTAATGAATGAATGGTTTAAAAATCATTTTATATCCAAGGCTCGGCAGCTTCGGTTAGTTTACCTGATGAAGCAAAAATAGTTCTGACTGTAGATAACTGTTCGGCTCATACTTCACTTAAAAGTTTTAGTGAAAGATAATTTATCCATATTATTCCTTCCTCCAAATTGTACATCCATCATTCAAACCTATGGATATCGTAATAGCGTGTGCACTGAAATGCAAATATAAAGTAGATTTTTAAAATCCATATTAAATTTCTTGAACAATGGCAAGACTATTCAAGAACTTTTGAAATATTTTAGCATAAAATCTGCTGTGTGCAGCATCACAATATTGTGGAAGGATGTGTCTCCAGATACTTTTAAAAATGCTTGGCATAATTTATGGCCAGCTACCATATTTCATGTGGAGGATAATGAAGATGATAGCTGCGAATTTGAAGGTTTTCGGATATCGCAAACCAAAGGTGAAATTTTCGAGTTAATGGATTGTGTAAAGAAATGTGGAGAAGCAGTAATAAATGAAAATAATATAACAAAGTTTTTCACTGCGATCCCAATGCTCCAATCAACAATTAACTTATGGCGAAATCTGTAGTATGGTTCTAGATCCAGAAAATATCATTACCGAAAGCGTAGAAAGTTACAGAGAGATTTTTGAAAATGAAAAAATTTCTATTGACAAGTTAGTCGGAATTCTCGACACAGCAACTACAGGACTTGAACAGTGCAGCTTTGTTACCAAACAAGAGATTATGTCTATCTATAGAACCGAAAAGAAAGTATTAGCAAAAACAAAAAAACAACAAACAAAAAAAAAATTGAAGCAACTTAAACAATTTACATTCAAAGAAATATTTAATAAAGTAAAGATATAAATATTAAGCTTTTTTAATATAAATTTTGATACCATTTAAGTCATAAATGCTTCATTATTTCAAAAATCACAATTTCATATTTTTAATTTTATAATTTCTGCATGCCATCTTACTAGATTTAAACTGATGTCTAATATCCAGAAAAATCCCAAATCCGGAATCCCCAAAGGCCCGACAAGTCTGAATCTTGCACTTTGTACTGTACTATTGTTTGAATTATTTTTAAAATCCAGATTCTAAGAAAAATTTCAAAATCATGTTTAGTTTTCTCTATAAATTTTGTCATTATCACTGTTTTTCTGTAAAGCTAGGTAGACAGTGCAAACAATAATGAACTATAAGATAAGAAAAGAATGTTGACTTATAATTGGAAAAAATAAATTACTAACAGTTTATGATACATGTACATATTTCATGCTTTTATTAAGTATTTATCAAGAAAAACAATCAACAAATCTACCCATAAATAAGTTTGAGTTTCTTTTATCCTAGGATAATTTCATGGCAATCACTTTAACAACAGACTCAAAGCAATTCTTCCTTTAGTGACAGCAAAATACAGTATTCCCGCAGAAATTTTACCACAGTTTCTTACACTGCAAACAAATCCTACCAGTGCATACTTTAAAATTGAGTTTATGACCAAAAATATCATAATATATCTCTAAAACAATTGTAACTTGAAAAAGAACAAAAAGAATGCATACAGAAATACAGACATCGCTTCTTAAAACTACTGAATTCTACACTATTGCAAGAATTCGCCACATTTTCAGCATCTGAGGATTTCTACTAAGGCAGTTGCAGTAATTTATAAATACTTTTAATTGGTCTTTGTTCAGTAAATGTTAAACATTTAATTTTTCAACACTTTAAGTTAATTTATTAAACCTTAATTCCTCTTGAATATTTAATAATTTATAAAGAAATAATTTACTTCAAATTCAAAATTACGCTCGGAAATTACACACACATTTTTTCACAAAAATCTTAAACATTAATTATGTTTACAAGAACACAAGCAATGCACTATAAGTCTCATACATTAAGCAAAAAATTTAGCTTGGGTTCAACAATGAATGCACTGTAAAAGTTAGTTTGAAAGTTTATATCTTACCTCTTTATATATTTTCTGTAAAAGTTCACGAACATTAGCTGCATTTACATCAGTATTCATAATAAATTTTAAGCCAGAAGCAGTTTCATAAAAATTCAACTTGTATTTACTTGTACGAAAATTCAAAAAACCTTCTTTGCTAAAATGTATATTAAAAAAAGAGAGAGAGAAACAGTGATTATTTTATCTGTTTATGCAGTTTTAACAAAATTTCTCATAAAAAAAAAAAAAAAAAAAAAAAAAAAAATTAGATCAATTAAGTAATTTTTCCCCTTTTAAAATTTCATCAGAAAATTACACATTACAATGAATTTTTCAAATTTCAAATTCATAAACAAAAGTAAATTGAGATAAAATTCTCATTCAGGATATTTTTAAAATGGCAATTTGATACAAAGAAGAAATAACTAAAGTTTATACATAAAAATACTTTAATGCCATGACTGTACAAGACTACAGTTTAACACAAACAAATGTTTGGATATATGTTTTTATAAGTCTCTCACCTTATATTTAATCAGTCATTGTGGATTTAAGATAAACATTCTAAAAATAAATCTCCATCTTAAGTTTTATCATAAGGGAGAATTATGCTTTTATCTTGTATTATACTAGTTATAAGATAAAAAGCATTAAAAGATTAATGATAAAGGTCTTTTTGAAATTTAAATAAAATTCAGGTAACTTTTTAACAAACATGGATGAATTAGAATAAAACTGTTTTCAAGAAATATCTGAATAAGAAGGCAAGAAACATTATTTTACTTATAATACTAAATGCTAAGACTTCCAATTCATATTAAATTTAACACTGCTATCAATTTTTAACGATACAGTGGATAACTCGGCTCTAGTACAGAAATGGGTGCCCCTTTGATTAGCGACAATTTAAAAAAAAAAAAAATTGACTATGAAACCTCACTACTGGTTATCATGATAGTTTTAACTTTGTTTTAGCTACCTGATTTTATTTAAATGAAAATAGATCGGTGTTTACATGGACACAGAGTTTGTGCAATTCTTTGACTTCTTAATTTGGTTTTGTTTAGCAGCCAACTTGAAATTGCGCCCTCCTGTCGCCTATCTTGGCGTCAAAAAAGAATCACCAAGAAACAAGGGGCACCCAATTGTAAACTTTTACCGATAACTCTATTCAGATCGCACTGTAATAAATATTAAGGGGCACCCAATTGTAAACTTTTACCGATAACTCTATTCAGATCGTACTGTAATAAATATTATCTTCTGTAAAAATAATTAATATAATTATATAAAAAAATATTAATTCAGCAAATATATTTTTGACAACATTAAAACAAATATTTCATAACAGTTCTTACCAGTCTGTTGGTGAAAGCTTGAGGACAAATGATTTGAGAGAGAATACCAGGCCATACATTAGTTTCATTTCCTAGAGAATTATACAAAATTAAATATAAAGCTAAAAGCAAATACACACAGTTTCACATTCTTAATTTAAAACCTCATATTCTGACACAGTAGACTTCATTAAGAATGTACCTTCATTATCATTACTTTAAATTTTCATTGAAACCAAAATCGACATAATGTGATTAAGAATACAAATAAAATAAAAATATCATTATCAAATTTTGCAACAATTATTACTGCAGGAAGGAAGGCATATAAGCAAAAAACAAATACAGTCTTTCATTCATTTTTTAACTTCTCTCCATTTATGATTTGTTTTCTTACTTCGTCTCTGGACATTCCAGCTTGTTGCCTTCGGTTCCATTCCATATAATATATACACACCCCAGCCGCATTGAATATATATAAATTGTAAATAGTCATTCTGAAATATATACCAAATTACAAAATTTATTACTTCTGCTTATTACTAACATGAATTAGGAGAAGAAGAAGAAATATAAATTTTGAATATTATAAAAAATTGCACAGAAGTAAATAACATATATATAGTAAACTACATACAAAGTAAGTTACAACAGAAATAGTTTAGTTCTACCACATGAAATAGCGCGGGTATCTAAAAAATATCAATGTTAGTTAAGATAAATACAAAAGTTTCGTATAATTATAAAAATTATATTTTAAGGCATAAGTAACTGTAAGCACACACCGATCATCAAAAGAAATCCATGAAATGATTTTCAAAGTTAAATTATAGATAAAACAGTATATTTATGTTAATCATACCTTAGATTTCAATTACTTAGACAGAAAGGAAAGTATCCAGATGTCTTTATTGCACTTGCTCAAGTCTTTCTGCACGCAGCGCAAAAAAGGCTTAGTAGTAAAGTCAAAAAGATATATAGAAACCGGGCATTTTGGTTTGAGAGTAAAAAAATTAGTATCATTTGGTGCGAAATTTATAAAGGACAGGTAAAAAGTCAAAGTCAAATTCTGTAATCAAATTTTTTAAAAAAAGCCCAAACAATACTAAAAAAACTATGGGGTTGATGCAGAAAAAGAGGATGAAAGAAAACTGCGTTGCCTTTCCCGTGAATCCCAAAGGTGTATCACGATTTAACCTGTGTATCCTATAAAAGTTATATCCCTCTAAGTGAATTGAGTTGTTATTATTCGTCTTTGGTTTATAGGTGATGAAGGATCCGTGCTTGAAATACGCTTGTGAGCTTCAAAAATGCCTTAAAAGTATGATGCTCTTTTATTTAAATTATATTTCGAAAGATGCTTAAATCCTCAGTAAGGTTACAGTTTTAAGAATTTTCTACTCCACTCTAATGAAAAGAATGGACAATTTTGCTTGAAAAGTTTGCAATTGGGGGCCTCTTGTTTTTTTTTTTTTTTTTTTTTCCGATTCTTTTTTGACGCCAAGATCGCGCCAGGAAGGTACAATTTCAAGATGGCCGCTGCACGAAACCAAAATAATAAGTCAAAGAATTGGACAAACTCGGTTGTCCATGTGCACATCGATCTATTTTCACTTAAAAAATAAAAAATCAGAGAATTGCGCGAACGAGACATTCCTTAACTTTGTCATGTAACCCCTTAACTTTGTCATGTACACATTGATCTATTTTCACAGGGAGCTAAAACACTGTCATGGTAACCAGAAATGGGGTTTTATCGCCAAAACTGAACAAAATTTGTCGCTAATCGGAGGGGCACCCATTTGTACTCTAGAGCCTTTTGCTTTTTTAATCACAAAAATGTATGAAATATTAATGGATACTTTTTCTAATTTTTTTTTAAACTTCAGATGTTTTGCCCAAAGTACTAAAGAATAAAATTAATGATGGAATTTGATTTTAAAGGATAGTGTATGTGTCATAACATAACAAAAAAACTGGGTATGATGTGCTTGGTAATAGAATGTGGGATTGAGTAATTTTGTTTTTCTCAGGCTCATTCAACATGTTATCACTTTATTTGCTTGCTTTTGAAATCCCTTAAAAATATTCATGTATATTATAATATTTCCATCAAATTTTTATTCATTGTGTTAATTGGATCTCCAGTCTTTTACCCATCTTTTCCTGTCACCAACCATTTGAAGTAATTTTCTGATCAAGGGATTTTATGTTCGTCCTACTTTGCAAGTTATAAACATACAGTCTGTATCAGAAATTTGAACCGTGACTGTTCGATTTGTAAGCACATCTGACAAGAAATTAAATATCTTTCTTATTTAGAGTTAGAAACTTTCCTCTCTATATCTGAAGATTTCATATTTCGATTTTTTTCCTGGAGAAATTAGAAGTGAATTTGATTTGAAATTTGATATTGAATAATTTTTACAATATAAAACAGAAGTCTACAGTGTCTCACAAAAGTGATGGGACACTTGTGCTTTACGAAAGGAAACTGTAGTAAAATAAATTAAAAAAACATGTAAAAATTTTTTGTGGGTGTGTTTCATACTTAAATTTAGTAACAATTATTACATAACATACATTTTCTCAAAATATTAAAATACTAATTTAATAAAAATACAATTGTTTAGAACGGAGCAAAAAATGGCTCACATAAGTGATGGGACACTTACTTTTCCATTAAATATTTATCCAAAAATTTTTCTTAAAATGTTTTAATATTTTGTTGGATTTCCTTTTACTTTTAAAACGTGATTTAATCTTCTTGGGATGGATTCGACTAATTTCTTTGTGATTTCTGGAGTGATTTTACCCCATTCTTCTTGAAGCAATGATTTTAATTGTTGTTTGAAGAAATGGGTGTTTTGCGAATTCTTGATTCCAATTCTTGCCAAATATTCTCTATGGGATTTAAGTCTGGAGATTGTGGTCGTGTTTTCATTATTTCAGGACAGTTATACAGCAGCCAGAGTCTAACGTTCAAAGCAGTGTGCTTGGGGTCATTGTCCTGGTAGAATTTAAAATCGTTATGAAGGATCAATGTTCATGCTAAAGATTTCAAATTTTGATTTAAAATGTCAATATACTTGTACCGATCCATTATACTGTCAATAAAAACAAGATTACCAACTCCAGCGGACGACATACACCCCCATACCATAATTCCTCCTCCACCATGTTTTACCGTTGGCACCAAGTTCTGTTTGCGAAATTCTTTCCTAGTTTTTCTCTACACGAAGATTCTACCGTCAGAACCAAATATATTAAATTTACTCTCATCAGCAAATATAACTTCATTCCAGTAATCAGAGTTCTTATTTATGTTGAATTTTGCGAAAGCCAGTCTGACTTTTCTATTCTTTTCACTTACGAAGAATTTTTTCCTGGCTGCTCTACCGTGATATCCAGCAGATCGAATTACTCTTCTAATAGTCCCAGGATTAACAATTACTCCATGTAATGCTTGTAAATCAGCAGCAACTTTAGAAGCACTCATTCTTGGATTTTTTTTAATATTTAGAACAATAATTCGCTTTATTCCATTGGATAGCTTTGATGGTCGGCCAGGTCTTCTTTTATCCTGAATCATATGATTCTTTTTATATCGTTTAATGATATTGGAAACTGTTGAATGACTGAAATTAATTGTTTCAGCAGTTTCTCTAATAGATTTTCCACGTTCAATATGCAAATTAATAACTAATTTTCGAATTTCAGACAAAGTTTCTTTTCGTTTAGCATTCATGGCTGCACAGAGCTAAAAAACACAAAAATTCCAAAACAAACTGGAGAGAAAGACTGCAGACGATTTTATCAATTATTGCCAGTTGCTTTTGAGTAAAAATAAAAACCCAAAAAAATATTTTTATTGTAGTACGTAGTAGTATCTAATGGTGTCCCATCATTTATGTGAGCCATTTTTTGCTCCTTTCCCAAACAATTGTATTTTTATTAAATACTATTTTAATATTTTGAGAAATGTTTTTATGTAATAATTGTTACTAAATTAAAGTATGAAACACACCCACAAAAATTTTTTACATGTTTTTTAATTAATTTTATTACAGTTTCTTTTTGTAAAGCACAAGTGTCTATCACTTTTGTGAGACACTGTATATGACTCAAAATAACAGAATTGTGTGGAATGAGCCCTTTTCGCATTTGCAATTTTGCTTTTAGCAACAGTTTAAAATATTTGGTACCGTTCTGTTATGAGGACTGGATTCAGAAATGTATGTATGGTTGTATGTATTTGTGTAGAGTATATACATGCACAATATACATTTAGCAAATCCAATACACACACAAGCATGTGCATACATACATTTCTGAATCCGATCCCAATGTATTTTTTGTATATTCCTCTAAGATGGTTTATTATTATAAGGAGATAACATTATTTTGTTATATTGAAAATATATAATGTTAGTATTTAATTAATGTTTAGATAAATAGAAATATAAATCCTGTTTCTTAATTTTCATTTTACGTAATACGAAAATATGCAAATTTAAAATTCTTTGCTTAATAGACAATTGGCAAATTAACGTATTGCAAAATAAACATATACATATAGCATAAAATAATTGTTTCAATGTTTCAGCTCATAATTATAATGAAGAAATGTGTTCTACAGTGATGAAAGCCTTACTGGACTGCTGCCAGACCTGGAAAACAGAAGCAAAGTGTTGCCTAGGGTTCATAAAAACCAATGATTCCAGTCAATAACCTCACTAAGAAATGACTGATGCCTTTAAATATAATTATCCTCAGATTAAAATGGTCAGTAGGAAATTTTGTGACATGGATATAAATGCTCATTGTATTATTGCTTTTGTAATACGTATGACACTTGTATTGTATGGATATGTTCAAGATGAATACTTTGAAGTGAAATATACAGATATTGACTATCAGGTATTGACTGATGGAGCTGAATATGTAATGAAAGGTTTGTCACCTTTTAATCGTCATACCTACAGGTATACTCCATTCTTAGCAATGTTGCTTACTCCTAATATCTTCTTTTTTAATGCATTTGGGAAAATTTTGTTTTGTGGTCTAGATATTTTAGCTAGTCTATTGATATATAACATTCAAAAAAATTTTGGTTGTTCTTTAGCAGTTTCTAAATTAAGCACATTTTTATGGCTGTATAATCCATTAAGTATCATTATTTCAACTAGAGGAAATGCAGAATCTGTAATGGTTGTACTTGTAATGCTTTCTATATATTTATATCAAAGTAGTTACCCATTTTTGTTTGGATGCATTTATGGTGTTGCCATTCATGTTAAAATTTATCCATGCATATATGCTGTTACTTTTTATTCCATCTTGACTTCATTTTCTGAAACTGTATATGGTTTGAAAAAACTCAAAACAATTCTTTATCCAAATCGGAAAAAATGTTTATTTGTTACAGGAACTATAATTGGATTTGCTATTCCAACAATTATTTCTATTGTTTTATATGGTGATGAATATGTACATGAAGCACTTTTATATCATGTTACAAGAAAAGACATCCGTCATAATTTTTCACCATATTTTTATATTTTGTATTTGTCTGAAGCAGTAGATTTAAATACATCAGTTTGCATATCAGCCTTTGCATTTTTTATTCAAGCAGCTTTAATTGCCTTTGTGTCTTGGGTGTTGTATTTACCAAAAACTCTTCCGGCTTGTTTGTTTCTAGAAACATTTATATTTGTTTCTTTTAATAAAGTATGCACATCTCAGTACTTTTTATGGTACTTATGTCTTCTTCCTCTTAATTATCAGTTTTTAGTGATTGATGTTAAGTATGTTTTTGCAGCTTTTTTGTTCTGGATTTGTGGTCAAGGATTTTGGCTTCTTCCTGCATACCTTTTGGAATTCAGAGGAAAAAATACATTTTTATTGCTGTTTCTTTGTAGTTTAATTTTCTTCATGATTAATATTTTTCTAATAAGTGCATTTGTGTTGATTTTGTCTAATTTGTTAAGTGTTGCAAAATCAGATGCAGTAAATGCTCAAAAAATGAAAAGCTTATAACATATGTTAAATAGGTAATGTGAAATAATTTATGTATATAGTAATTAATAATTTTTGTCATGTTTTACTGTATTTTGTTACTGTGTATATTTTTGTTCATAAACTGAAATTTTGATTCACATTTATTGTTATTTTTTCCTACATATGCACTATGTTATATTATGAAAAGCCATAATTAATTAAAACTGCAGGTATTGTCTTTAATATTCAAATGTTTTGTCGTAATTCTTTTTTAAAGTGACTATAAAGTTGGGACAAATTTTCCATATATGCAATATTATAATGCAGAGAGTCATACTGAATGTTTAACTTCTGTATCCTCAATGGATATTTTATTTGATACACTTTGATGTGATTGCTATAGAAATTTTAACAAAGGGCTATTTCTTTAAACATAAATAGTTTAACTGTTTTATGTTGTAAAATAGATACTTTCTGTTAATGGAGCAACAGTGATCAAATGTAGTACTATTGCTTTTCACATAACATCAGCAATGACCTTTTTGTGAACAATAAAGAATGGACATCAATCCAGTAATTTTTCATCATAGATTTTCAATTGATTTTGTGTCGATCTACAGAAAGTCATTCTTTGTTGAATATGTGCCTGATGGCAAATTTATATCAGTTTTCAAATTTTTTATATTTTAAAGTAAAAACAGATTGCCATGTAGATGACCAACAGATATATTAGCTCCATGTACATAACAATCTGTTTTCACTTCAAATAATTGCATAGTTGGGCATTGTGCATAGCCTTGACATTAAGCATTATATATAAAATAGTTATTCTTTTTATGAAGTCGCTATTCATGTATCATTAAGGTTACCACTATCAGGGCTGTTGCCAGAGACCACGCAACAGAATTTTTAGAATTGAGATAAGTCTCCTGCAGTAAAATTAAGGGACGGTGAAGTTTTTAGAATTTAGAGGAGACACTGGGCAACAGAATTTAGGATAGTTTAGAATTGAAGGAAGTAATGGGTAATAAATTTTAGGGCCTGCAGAAATTGCACTAGGTAGCAAAATGGGTATCCGTGACCCTGACCACCATCTAGTTAAATTTTGCACCAATATTTATTTTGTCCTCCAAAACCAAATAAAATATCAAAGTGTAATTAAATATTTTTACTTTTTATAAAAGAGTAAAATGTGCATAAACAATGCAACTTCATTCCTGCCCTCCCAAAACAACATATTTTTTATAAATATAATTAAAATTTGTTATATTTATGGTATAATACAAAATCTATATCTAATTTTGTAAAATTTACATTTACATTCATATATTTTATAAATATTCAAAAATATATGTTATTTTCACCATATGTATAAAATGGTAAATTATTTTATTCTATAGTCTGGGGCAGACAGCATGAGTATTATTGTATTAAGTTACCTTTTTGAATTAAGGCCTTTTTATATAATTTATAGTTCTATTCAAAATAAATAACATTAAAATGCCACAATACTTATGTATGTTATCTGTCTTCTGTCTGTGTCTCTGTTTTGTAATTCAAAATAGAGGAAAATGAAATTTCAGATCTGAAAATGAAAACTTATCATTTTTATCACAGATTAATTATGTGATTACTTTTATAATGGTGTGTGAAATAATCTGTGTTTTTTAGTATGTATGTATCAATTCAAAAATGCAGAAGACTACATATTCTGCATTTTTGAATTGATACATACATACTAAAAAACATTCTATTCTTTTATTCTGTTTTAATAAAAGTACATCGTAAGAGAAGCTGTATCTTTATATTGGATTAGACTCTAATATTATTAAAAAGGTATCCTAAGGATAAAAGTTCTAATTTTATCATAGTACTTAATATGTTATGTTAATATATTACCCTTAAAAATTTCTAAAAGCAGATTTTCTATACTTCGTAGGATTATTCTAGTTGTGATAATATTTATTTTAAAATTATGGAAAACATATTTTTACAAATAACAATTGTCTAAAGAAAGATTTAATTAAATAATAAAATGATGTATTTATATTAATTAATATATTAAACTGATTTTGTCTGTTTCATGGTAGCATGACACTAATTCCAAAAATTGTCCATGACAGTTATATGTATAAATATGCTATCCATTAATAATGTAATACTAATTATTGATATGTTTTGCCAGTAAAAATGTGTTGTATTTGAATCAGTGCTAAATTATAATTATTGCTAATTTTTTAAAATTTATTTAAGCAATAAATTAATAACACAACACAATTAACAGTTAAGAAATTAACAAAATTCTTTGTTTACATCAATACTGTTTAAAAGCATGATGTATTTCATGAAAAAAAAAAGAATTTAATTTTCTCAATTTAAGGAATTTTTCTTTTAAAGAAGGGAGAATTGTGTCTGATCACCCTTGAAATAAATAGAGTTTTATTCAATACTTATTCACATATTGTTCCGTCAACTGTGGAGTTGGCTACCATCGAACTATAAAAGTTGACAGAGATCCCACAAAGTTGCGCCTATCATTCCTGAGGAATTTTGAAGGAACAGATGCTTCTTTATTTATTAAACAATCTGTTTTAAAATGCCCTTGTTTTTATGCTTCATAAAAAGATTTTCGTCGATTTCCATTGTTTTATTGGGCTGTCCTATTTTATCAGAAGCTCTGTTTAGAAAGCTGAGTACAAACTTCCCACAGGTAATTCTTCCCATCTGTTGTTTTGTCAACCATATCTTGTCCATTAAATTTTTTTTTAAGGGTTAGATCACATCACTTTGAAAATAATCCACTGCTTCCTGTTTTGTAGAAGACAGGTCCCAAATTTTGATCTTCCCCTCCTTCCAAAATACAAGAAAAAAGTACGATAGTAACGGATAATTTATACCCTTGTTCATGAAAACAGAAGAAGTTTATCAAAACCAATAGCGGTTAATCAGATGGAAGAGCAAATGTTATGAGTCTTCATTGTTATACGTTATGCATATCCATAACCGGAACTAAATCACGCTGTTTTACTATTAAATGGAATACAGTCAAAAGTCTTTAATCTGGAATGATCTATAATCCGGACCTCAAAGCTACAAACTTTCTGCGCATGCATAAACACATAATGTGTTTACATATGCGTTTAAGCATGCGCTTAATACCTTTACACATACGCGTTTAATGTATAATTGACGTTATAAGCTGAGTTAAAATTATCTAATTATCTATTTCAGTTATTGTTGCAGATTGCGTTGTTCCTTAATCTTCTAATTGGATCCAGCTTATTATTTTTTGTGGACTGTTAGAGCAATTTTATAAAAAGTAAGCTTGAACTTTCGATTATGTCAAAAGGAATTTCCGATTCTGGAGCTGCGATAGGATCTACAAAGCGAAAGCGTGTTTCGATGTCCATCCAATAAAAAGTGGAATTGCTGCAAAAAATGGATAAAGGCATATCCTTTGTTTCTCTAACTATTTCAAAATCTATTTATCAATTTCATGCTGCTGCTCTGCGTGGGGGGGGGGGTCGCAGCGCGCAATGAACTGGAAGTTGATCTGTCAGCACTATCCTTATCTTCACGGCAGATGTTTTTATTTTATTCGGCTTATAATTTCATACTAAATGTAGTATTTCATATCGATGTACTCCGTCTTTGATATGATTTAAATCAAATTCCTCGTCATTATAAATATCACGAATGCACATCAAATAGTTTTCTAGTTGCAATTTTCTAATTTTGACTATATGTAATGTATGCTTTACGCATGCGTGCGTTGAAAGAAATGTTTAATAAAGTAAACAAATAGATATTAAGCTTTTTTTTTTTGTAAATTTTAATACCCTTTAGATCATAATTGCTCTTTATTTCATAAATTACGGTTTCATATTTTTAATTTTATAATTTCTGCGTGTCATCTTACCAGATTTAAACTGATGATCTATAACCCGGAATCGCCAAAGTCCCGATGAGTCCGGATTAAAGACTTTTGACTGTAATACGTAAGTATCTTGAATTCAAAATCTACATCAAACTAAGGTATTTTTACTAACCATATTTTAAGCAGTGTTACTTAAATCTTTGCATATTAGAAAATGAATATAGATTAGTAAGTAATGTTGAACTACAATGTTATCTTTCCTTGTCTGATTATTAACTGTTATTTTTTAATCCAGATGTTTTATATATTTACAGTACTTTTATTTGTGTTCAGTTCATGGTTTCTGCTGGTTGCATGAAAATTATAATAGTTCCTCCTTCTTTAGTATAAATATCAGTCAGTGTGCTTTAGAAAAAGTATTTCACAGAGGTATCCTTGTCAGCTTGGTAGTCCATTAGTACTTTGTTGTAATCGAAAAAATAAAAGTTGGAAATTCAGAAGTATGGCCAAAGCATGTGATGGCAAAAACACTGAGTTAAAATATGTTAACAGATATTGCATCCATCTCCAAATTCAAAAACACATTATAGAGCTTAGGTTTCATTATTCAGTAGGTTAATAATAATGATGGTTTCTGTTATACAGAGTGGTTCAAACACTACCAAGATTGATTTTTTTCTTTTTACGAAAACCTTTGCTAATATGTCATCCTTTAATGTACTCCACTCCAAAGTCAGTACATTTTTGCCAATATTCTGGAAACATTTTTATACCCTTTTACTGTAAAATTTTTGGTTGGTTGTGAATCCACTTCTGAACATTGACGGCATCGTTATCTACAGACTGCATGCTATCCAAGTGGGATCTGAGACTCAGGATTGAATTAATGGACATACATTCATTGAAAATTACTATAGTCTTCAAAAATGCATCCCCTTCATTACCATACCACCAAAGGAGAGAACTGGCAGTTGCATGTGCTTCACTTTGTTCTCATCTGTTAGTGAGCATGAAATTCACTTTGTCATAGTACAAATGTTTTATCACAGTGTTTTTTACACTACCAACATTGATGAGAGCTCTGATGCAAGTTCTTTGACCTATTCTCACAAAAAGTAGCATTCATTTTATCATTCACCCTCAATGAAGCATTTACACCACTCACAAGGATCCTAGAGAGACACTATTCCTTATACTGTGTTTGGAGTCTGCCAAGTTTCAGATGACTAGATGTTCTCTCAAATAATAAATTTGATCACAGTGAGTTTCTCCATTGTGTGAAGCAGCTGTTGTTCGCTCATCACTCTCGCAACTGCCAGATGACTCAGAGCAAGCTCTAATCTGCAACGCAGGCAAGGGAAGGATAGTGACTGTACTCATCCAAAGACATACAGCACTGTGCATGGGTATTTGTTTGTAACAGCAACAATCCTGTCGTATTTGAATCCCCTTATTAAACATGCTAAATTCCTTTACACAGCAGTAGTAAAACTATTAAGTATTATTTATAACATATATTACATGTAATGCTCATTATTTACCCGATTACATAACATCACATGCAACAGCTGTAAATATGAAAAACACATGCATATATCCAGCAGCATGTTAATTTCTTTTGATATATGGTGTCTCTCATCTATAAAAGAAAAGTGTAAACTTAAAATGTATGAGAAGTGAACATGGGTCTCATGTTGGATAATATGAGACACAGTCACAATTTCTGGTATTATTATGTGTAGGACCATGGGTCCTACAAATAATAAAAGATAATAATTAAAACCAAACCGGATGGCACCAAAGGGCCCGGGTTCGAATCCCGGAGGCGTAATAACATTGTGTTGATCAATGTGCATGCTGAATGGTGTACTGTTGGCATGGGACGAAATATTGGTGACTAAGGGGAAGCAAAAGCAACCTTTACACAAGCGTGCTTGTGTTTCATTTTGGTTTGACAATTATTTCATGCAAAATCAGAAATCTTTCCCTCCCTTCAATTATTATCTGTACATTAGCAATATTTTTTGGGGGATTTATGCTATTTGTATTGATGATGTAATCAATAGAGGAAACTTGAGTTTTGAATCCCATTCTATATAATGATGTTCGGATGATAAGGTATCAATTAAACTAGTTTTTAAATACTTCAGTTACATGCCTTAAAATGAATAGATTGTATAATATGAATATTTTGAATGACAGTCTGTTAATAAACAATGACCAAAAAAATATTTTCTCATGTCTTAATTCTGTATTCCACATGATGAAATCTACTCCATGCTATGCTATTAGCAGCTGCAGCATAGAAAAGCAAAAACTTTGTGATCTTAACTTTGCAAATCATCAGTAACATTTTAATAAAATTAGAAAAGCTGAAGATGAAATGGGCATAATTAAGACTATTTTAAATTTCTGCGTAAACTCACTGTTTTAGTGATTCAGCATTGTAGTGATGTTTTAAGTACTACAGAGTTATAAAAAAGCTCTTTAAAATGTTACTTTTTTCTTTTTCTACTTGAACTAGTCATATCATCAATTTCATAAATAATTGCATTTAAAGCTTAATTTTTTTAACAGGCAGATTTTCCTTCTATGTTCATTCATTCATTTGTTTAAAATATAAATATTTATTATACATAATGATTTAAATAATTAAATTTTAAAATATGTTTCCTTCATTAAATGTAGGAAAATTTAAAAGTATGCAATTGAGTTGATTGCATTATGTCTTCAAATCAATAATCAGACCATACGTTAATAAACTCTAATAATATTTGGAGTAGGAGAAGATTCCTCAAGCATTTAGAAAGTAGAACTGTTAGTGATATATGTTACTTGAATGTTCAGATTTTTACAACAGAGTACTACGTAGTAGTAAAAATGGTTTATTAAATTCATGTACAGTATATACAAACATGTATGCAGATACAATATACAGATGCAAAATGTATAATTAATAAACATCACAAACTATAATCAAATAAAATACAATAAAAATACAAAGAATAAAAATATACATGACTTTATAAAAAAACAGAAAAAAAGGAATATGAAATTGATTAAGAATTGTGAGAAATAGCATTCCTTTGATTTCTCTTTATCTTCAATGCTAAATCTCTCTTCCTTTTCATTCTTTTTTTAATTTCGTGACCTGGTGGATGGCCTGCAGGCATTCTTTTACTTCCTCTTGTTAGGTGTCTTCGACGCGCAAGAGATGTTGGTTGAACTCTGATATTTCCATGAGTTTTTCCAAAAGAAGCATGGCCTCCAGCTGTACTTAAAAATGAGTTCCATCCATTTCTTGTTTTCACAGCCTGGAGACTTTTGGTAAATCTTTTTAAAATCCTTCTTGATGTGCCATAATTC